TTTTGCTTTACCATGGCTATCTATCCAAGTCCAGACCTAAAAATTCACCTGCACCGTCATCTCAATTACTACGATCAAAACAGCAAAAACTATGGAATTGTTACTTTTTCCCTCCAAACAGTCTGCAGTTCATTTCTTCCTTGCTGATTAAGCATTATTGGGGTGCCTGGCTGGCTCAGTTGGTAGAGCATATGACTCTTGATCTTGAGGTTGTGGGTTTGAGGCCCATGTTGGGCATGGAGCCTACTTAAAAAAATTTCAGCATTATCACACATCTCTCATAATTTCCTTGGGAAGTAAGGCCACTTATAGTACCTTCATTTTTTTTTTTTTTTAGCAGCTGAAGTTACTGCTTTCATCATTCTCTCATAGTTTAAAGTCTCATTCCCTGTTAGCAATCCCCAGACAGGCATCAGTGTGGTTCGATGTCTGCACTGGTACTGGGAGTCTAGAAACCTGGGTCTTTTCTTTAGCCCTTTGTCTGGCCTGACTTTGGCCAGTTTTCTTATGCTGCAGTTTCTCCATCGGCTCAAAGCCACACAATAATTGACACCCACTTCACAAGGATATTACGAGGAATGAAGTGATAATGGTTATAAGATGCTGTGAACTTTTCCAAAGGAAAGTGATCTGAAAACACATGTTCTTTTCATTCACGGGAGAGTGTCTTTTGCTCCTGGATGCAGCTGAACGATGAACTCTCCTGCCCTTACACTTTTGCTCCTCCCAAGGGTCTCCCCATCTCTTCAGAACTGTAAATGAAGGGCAGACAAACAGGGTGACCACAGCAGGGGCCAGGCCGCCTTCGGCAGGAGAGATGTGAGCAAGAAGGAGAAGGCAGGGCTGTTTGGTGTAAGCACAGGCCCTCCTTTTCCACAGGCTTGCCTGCCCCCCAAAATCACAATCGATGTATCATGATGCCTAAGTTCAGCATAGAAAGAAAAGTGGGGGCTTCGTAGCCAGGCAGCATAGACTTGGATCTGTGTGGCCTTGGTTAAGTCCCTTAACTTCCCAGAATGTGCATTTGCTCATCTCTGAAATGGGGATACTAATATTGGTCTTGTGCAAATAATGTCAAGTTTAAATGGGATATTCTTTCTAGTGTCTGGTACACAGTAGGTGTTCAGTAAGCATTAGCTACTACTTTTATGCCTTTACTTGGTAGTGGGCAGAGGGGTTTTTGTTTGCTTTGTTTTTGGGGCCACTCCATAATAGGACCTGTGTGTACAAACACTAAATATGGCAACGCAAAATTTGCCTTATTACTTTCCAGTGGAATAACCAACCACACAGTTGGCCCGGCCAGCTCTTCAGGTCATAGACTGTAGCACAAGTTGTTCACAGTCTCCACTTTGGTCTCCCTGCCTCCGGCCTCTTTCGCTTCTGTTACTCCTCCTCGACTCCCTTTTGTTTGTGCCATTCTGTGGACATGCTCCGAGCCTCCTCGATGAGGCCAAGGCTCAATGGCAGGATGTCAGGGTTCTCACAGAACACCCCTTTTTTCCCTCACCTCATTCTGTGTGTCTGCCCAGTTGACCATGGTTTTGGACTTTCCTGCTTCTGCTCCCTTTGCCCTGCATGCACTTTCCTTCCATTTTGCTGGCTCTGCACCATCGTTGGGGGCAGCACAGCCTTCCTCCATGACATGGTTCAAGCATTGCTTCCTTGAAGAAGACTCCCCTGACATGCCTCCCACCGCCCTCCTTCTAGCTGAGCCACCTGAGGCAGCCAGTGCCTCTTGCATACGTAGTCCCACATCTCTGCATTAGCGCTGGTGGCACTGTGGGCATGCCTGGTATGTGTCCGTATCAGACAGTGCAGCCCTGGGGTTCCCAGCTCAGCCCTCCACAGAACCTTGTGCCCTGTAGGCATCCACCGAACCAATGCCGCAGGGAGAAGTGTTGCCCATTCTTCAGTTTTCTCTGGTGAAGACTTGGGCCTTGCTCAGTGACATTCCAGGGCTCAGCTCCCTGGCCCCTCCCCATGCCACCCTTGAAACTGTGTGTTTGGGGGCGCCTGGGTGGCTCAGTTGTTAGGCGTCTGCCTTCGGCTCAGGTCATGATCCCAGGGTCCTGGGATCGAGCCCCGCGTCGGGCTCCCTGCTCGGTGGGAAGCCTGCTTCTCCCCCCTCCCATTCCCTCTGCTTGTGTTCCCTCTCTCGCTGTGTCTCTCTCTGTCAAATAAATAAATACAATCTTTAAAAAACAAAACAAAACAAAACAAAAAACTGTGTGTTCCAGCTAAAATTCCCTGAAGGAAATTTATGTCCACGTCCTCTTACTCGCTCCTCCATGACTATGCACAACAGCTGTTCGCCCTCTTTTGTAAAATCACTCAAAAATGGCCATGAAGTCACTCCCAGACTTCTCTTCTTCAGGACATTGAACCCCAATTCCCTCGACCCCCCTTGTGGACCCAGTGTACTCGCCCCTTTGATCCTCACTACCCTTCTTGTCTAAATCCTTTCTAAATCCCCTGTCTTCCTCTCAAGTTGGGCGAGATTTAAGAATGCCCGTTTTCCTAGAATGCCACAGCTCAACAAAGCTTGGGTCAGAGTCAGCCTCTTGCGTTGGCTTTCCTGAGATCGCTGGAAGGAGGGTGACGGGAGCTCTTGGCCCCAGGGCTCTGGAGGGCTCCTGACATCCCAGTGCCCCTCTCTGGCTGGAAAGGAAGCAGATGAATGGGCGACTTAGGAAAAGCTTCAGGGAAGGAAGGACCCGGGAGAAAGCAGGCGTGCCTCTCAATCAGGATAGACAACTTAGAGCACCAGCAGATCCCCAGCTGTTGAGGCCCCAGGGCAGGAACCCAGCACCACCAAGTGAACCCCCCCTCCTGGGTGCCAGACAAGGTGGGGATGGTCTGCGTTCCTTCCCCACAAGAGCAGGCCTTCCACGGAGCCTCTTACCTTCAGCGGAAATTATACAGTCTGTCTGACCTTGCAGCCTTGCACGTTTCGTTAGAAAGCAAATCAGCTTTGAGTTCCTCAGACACTTCTCTAAGGGGCCCCTTCAGCCCTGCTCTCCTCCTCCTCCCAGCAGATCAGTCAGGCCTGTGAAGGGCATTGCCAGCACCTCCCAGTGCGGCCGACCGAGCCCAAAGAAGAACAGTGATCTGGATCTAAGGTGCTCTGAGAGCCACCTCCTCCCTTCCAGTCACCCACCCACCCACCCCTGCCCCACGTGCTGCACACGTGCATGCACACACATGCCTCCACGCTCTGCGTCACAGCAGGAACTTGGCCGCTCGCACCTGGATTGATGCTGTTGAGTGACCACGAAGAAGTAGTGGGGCAAGGCTCGGGGATGGTGGCCCCTGTGGGCACCTGCATACAAGGCACGCCCAGTAATTCCACTGAGCCCGCGAACCTGGAGGAGCCCAGCGCAAGCATCCTGGGGAGGTCATTGTTCTCCCCTTCTCCACTTCTGGCCTCTCCCCTTCCCCGGTCATCCCACAGATGGGCATCATCTTGAAATGAATCCAAACCACTTACTCTGCGTAGTCCCTCCTGCCCTCCGTTTTCTTTGGAAATACTAATAGTTGCGCCCTTCTGCAACATTTGCTTTTGCCCTGGCCCAGGAAGACCAAGGCACACCAGTGACTTGCTTCTCACTGGGGAAGAGAAGGTCGCAAAAATATCAGTCAGCCCCTTCTTCCCCAACCCCATCCAGGCCCGCTTCTCCCTCCTCCCTTTCTCACTACTGCCCAGCCTGGAGCATAGCCCAGGAGGTGAGGGAGCACTGGCTTCAGCACCTTAACATCACAGATGGATGGCATTGTGTCTTTCCACAACTTCTCTGCAATCCCTAAAGGGAGGGAAGGAATATTATTTATATATCTCTGTGTGTGTGTGTGTATGTATGTATATATATATGTATATATATTTATGTACGATGTAGAATATAATATATAAAATTTTTATAGGTTTGGAGTTTAACACATTGGGAATCTCTTACTGGGAAAGGTGGTTTTTAAATTAAAAGTGAATACTTTTTATTGAAACAAAAGTGAAATGTGTTTTCATTCATTCAAATAAAAAATATCTATGGGAAGCATCTTTTATACCAGGAACTGGTCTCCATTCTGGATCTCGAGAAGTGAGTCAAACAGCCGTAGACCCTGATCTCAGAGAGCTTCGATCCAGTGAGGGGACAGTTAAAGGGCAAGTAATGAAATAGATGGCAGGCACGCAGTGCGGAATGCCATGGCGCAGAGGGCAGGGAGCGTGGTGGATGCCGCACACACAGCCTGGGAAAGGGCTCGGGAAAGGCCTCTGCCAGCGGGGAGATGGAGCAGGGGCCGGGGGTATCTAGACAGGGACTGCGGTTGCTTTAAATGTCATTAGCCCAGGAACACAGGAAGATGCAACCTAAGGTCTGTTGACCCTAAATATACTGGATACTTCACGAATTGAAGGAGTATTCAAATCAGCAGGACATGAAACCAAAAGAATTGGAGCTGACTTTGGGTCAGACTTAACGAGCAACTTTTATTTCAAATAAAGCAGCCCGTGGGCCTGCTTACGCACACTCCCCGCAGCCGGGCCCCTCTGCGCTCTGACAGGGGATCGTGCCATCTGTGCCTGCCGCAGCCCCCATCACGATAAAGTTCAAATTTCATTTTGATGTGCTAAGTGCTGGAGCGTTCCGATTTCACTTTGCTGCCAACTGTGGAGGAAGCAGTCGTGCCTGATGTGTCCTCTCCTCCCTGAATTGGGGCTCCCAACCCAACAGTTCCTCTCGAGGCATTAAGAGCACCTATTACAGTGTGCCTCCGATTTTTAGATCCCATCGTGCACATCCCTGTTGACCGAAGCTGCGCTGAGTGTGACTGAGTGCCCTCTGCGCTTGAACCTGGCACGGCGTTGCTTTTCTCCAGGGAACAGGTACTTCTCTGGAAGATCGATGCTGTGATCTACCCGAATAGTTATAGAAAAAGGTGCTAGGTATATAATAAGTGCTCTGTACCGTTTTAATCCTTGACTTTTTGCTTTATTTTTAAAGGCTTGAGTTGTCTGTGGAAAACATCTTCCGAGACTGGCTTGAGAGTTCTGGAATACCACAGGTGGGCTCAACATGACTGCTCAGGAGGGTCTGTAGAGGAGAGTGAAGCTTGCTGCTTAGCGTATCAATTTTGACAATGATTTGTTTGTATGTGTAGTTATAAAAGTAACCATCTTACTGAAGTGGAGTATCTGTAAGTCAGGAAAATGACGGTCTCCCACCCTTTTCCGCCTGCGATCATGGTGTGTGCCTCCGGCCTCTGCCTCAGGGGACTGTGGGGCTGTAGGTGGGCATGCTGGTTGACCTTGAACTGTGTGTTAAGTGAGATCTTGCAAAGTGTGGTGTACATTGTGGGTGGTGTCACCAGGCAACACTTCAAGGCCACCGGTCGGTTGAGCAGGTGGTCTCCAGCTCTGCTTTTTGGATACAGCCAGGTGAGTGAGTGAGCTGGCTTGCCTACAGCTTTCCTCTTACGCCCTTAGTTCTCCATCATTTCCCCGCTGCAGCTGCCCCTCAACTTCCTCGCCTGGTTCTGCATCCCTGCCTCAAGCTGGTGTGATCCGAATGAGCCATGTAGGTTCATTTCTTCATCTTATGGACCGGGACCTATCCCAGCTGAATGGTGGTTCTACTGTCTCCCTCCCTTTCAGCCCATGGGCACGTCTGAGGGAGAGACATTCCCGACCAGTCCCAGCTCCATGGGAACTGCCTAGCTTGGAGCCTCGTCTCCCTCCACTCTCATCCCCAGGTCCTGTGCTTCCTGGAGCCTGACAGGCAGCCCCCGAGGGCCGACCCTTGCCAGAGCATAGGCCCTGGGAAGTTGAGGGTGGCATCCCGTGTGGAGCCGATCAAGGGACCCTGCAGGCCTGGAGCTTCCCAGGCTGGGCTGCACCCCCGCCCCCCGAGCAGCTGCAGACCCATCAGAGTGAGCCCTAGTGTCTGGGAGTGGACCCCCATGGCTGTGAGAAACTCTGCCCTGGGCCCAGGCAAGCAGCCTCCTTAGCCTGCTCGTTTCTAGTTTCACGGCTGGTTATATGAGCTTCCCCTTGGGAGTGTCTGAATGTCAATGAATGTCTGTGAACCATGAAATTAAGGAACAGGAGGGGCTGCTCTCCATTACTTTTCATCCCTCTCTTCACATCTTTGTCCGTGCTATCACACAGGGGAAAATGTCGGCCACCAGCCGCCATGAACTCGTTCCTAAAAAGGATGCAGTGCCTTCTGTTCGGGGATGCATGTCACCTGTTAAAAAGTTATTTATTTGGCCCAATCCTTCTGGGAGCAAAAAAATAAAAAATAAAACCCTGAGGTCTAAAAAAGCAAAACCAAACGGGTGGGTAAGGCAGCAGTCCTGGGAGGCAGCTCTGTCAACTTGTATGTGTTATAGTGAGGTCCTGGGATTTCTAAGACGGGGGCTTCCGAACCCGGCCATTTACTGCGGAGAAAAATCTCAAAAACAAAGTTAAGGTTTGTCTGATCCCAAATAGCCAAGCGTTGCCTTCTTGTTTGAGATGGGGGCAGAGGGCATTCGCCAAAGCTGTGGGCCTTGTGTTCCGAGGCCAGGCTGTTGCAAGGCGCCCAGACATTCTTTCCATGGCCTGGAAACTGGAAAGAGTGGGGAGCTCAGAGAGCAGGATCCCGAAATTTCCTGGCTCCACACAACAAGACCGCTGTATTCAACAGTTAGCCCCGAGGGAAGAGAAAAGAAAGAGTCCTTAATCGAGTGCCCAGAAGCAGGCGCACCCCACTTGGGCTGTAACACTGGGGCTGACCCTCTCAGTCCCAGGAGGCTCCCTAATTTCGCCTGAAGAGAAGGAGGCTTTGCCACCAGCAGGAGGCTTTTGCTTTTCATTAAAAGGGGGAGGGGCGCGGTGAAGGGAGAGATTTGCCTCTGAGCAGTGCATTTTTTCCAAGGTCTAGTTGCATTTGTGACAGCTTATAGTGTAGACAAGAATTTCTGCTATAAACTGACGAAACCTGCTGTCAAAACACAGCCAGGTGCAATGAGGCCAGCCTAGCTATAAATTGTCTTTAAGACCCAACTGGTATTTCCTTGGGCGCTTAACTGTTCAGTAAAAACAACAGCGTCAGACAGAAAGGACCCTGATTTAGTGCATATCTTTCCATTGGTGAATGATCAGAAGGCACCTTTTCATCTCCGTACCCATTCTCTGCCATTGTTTACATGGTTGATGATGATTTACTCGCTCACGGTCCTTTCTGCACTCCTTGAGAGTTCCTTCTCGGTTCCACTTCAGTGAAAGGCTCTGCAAAGGCCCGGGACCCTCTGGGTGCAGCCAGCTGGCGGTGAATGGGACACCTTGTTCTTTGTCCCCATCATTATAATATAAAGTTACGAGTGTGCTTGGCCGGGATTGACAACCAGAGCACTGAAATCACTTCGATGCTCTTTGTTCTCGTTAAAAATTTCTGTCCACCAGCAACTGAAGTCATTCATGACAAAAGAGTCACGTTCTCCTGGTAAAGTTTTCATTCCACAGGTTACAGAGGCTTTTTGTCTCCTCTCAGGAAGGCTTGCCTTGTGGTTGGCCTCGATTTTCCTTTTTGGCCACACTGAATGGAAATCATTAAAAAAAATGTGGAAATCACTTCAGCGGCAATAAAAGTAAGCATGAGCCCCAAAGAAGTAAAAGAAATTGGATCCAAACCTCTTTAAAGAACACCCAACCCTGTAACCTTTGGCTTTGCAAACAGATTTAAAATTGATTGTACCGTCAGTATTATAGATTATTTCCTTTTATGACTTGTTTTTTTCTGGTTATAGAAGTATTATGTATTTATTTTAGAATATAAAAAGTTCAAAATAAGAAAATTAAAATGGCCCAGAGATAATTTTTTGATATAAGTCCTTTCAGTCATTTTTCTGGAGGTCTGAATACATGGTTTACCCTTTCCTTTGTCTCCCTTTTTAAAACTCAAATAATGTGTTCTCTGTAGCAAGTTCAAGCAATAGCAAGATATAAAAAGGAAAAGCCCTTGCCCCCATCAGTCTTTCTCTGCAGAGATAATCCATGCTGGCTAACAGCATGGTGTGGGTCCTTCCACACATTTTCTGTGCTATACAGAATGTAGGTGCATATCCTTTTTAAACAAAATTGGAATCTTATTATCCAAGCTGAAAGTTCTCATTTAAAAGTATATCTTAAGCAGCTTTCCTTATCCTTTGATATAATTTAAGAGCAGTAATTTTCAACAGCTGCCTAGCCTTCTAACGAATAGTACTGTAATTTAATTTACTCAGATTCCCTCCTCGCCCCAAATAGTATACATTATTTCTAAGAAAGTCGCCCATTCTGCTAATTTGACTGTTCTATAAATAGATATTGACTTCTTTTAATGTCTGCCCAAGTGTCTCTTCCAAACCCCCCCACCAGCCTGTATGCACATATATTCCAATTCCTTTTAAAACATTTATGTGCAGATACGTTAGAAATAACTTTCCCATCCAGCCTTTTATCTGTACTGCCTTATTTTAGTTGCTACAGAATTCTCTGACTCCTCTTTTTCCTTGAGTTCCTGGCCACATTGCCAAGTCCTGGTATCCCTATATACATATTTATTACATTTCGAATTTTCTTTCCTTTCCTACCGCCTCCCCCATTTTTTTCATTATATTTTGCTTGGACCGGTTCAGTAGCTAATTGGTTTTTTAGCCACGAAGCCGTTCCGCATCAATACTAAGTGGATCTTTCTAAAAGATTCCTCCTCACCAAAAACTTATCCCCCATTAACTGTGGATTGAGGACAGACTCTTTGGCTTGCTATTTGAGGCTATCAGCAGAACTGCTCCAGGCTGTCTTTTTAAACTTTAATTTCTACCCTCCTAGGTTTATGCCCAGCCATAATTACCAATCTCTAAATGTTTGTTTCTTTGCCACCGACCTTCCTTTGTGCATTCCCTTTTCTCCTTGGAATGCTTTCCTTTCTGTGTACTTAGCAAGTGTCATGACCTGCCTTACATTGTTACTATTTGTATATGTGTCTCATACATAGGCTTCCCCACCCAGAGGAAATAAGGACTCTGTCCGACTCATCTTGTCTTACCTGCTGTGATGTGCACAGTAGGTGCTCGGGGTCTCACTGTCCAGTATGGCAGCCGCTAGCCACATGTAATTATTCAGCACTTGAAAAATATCTAGTGTGCCTGAAGAGCTGAATTTTTAATCTAATCCACATCTAAATTTAAGATCTAATAATTCAGGTTTTGTTTGGAACAACTTTGGGTATGTGAATGAATCTACTTTTTTTAACCGTAAATTTTATGAAATCTAAATACAGACCAAGCATTTCTGGTTAAAATTTAGCACTTGAGGTGGACTGTGAAAACACATCAGATTTAGAAGATTTATTACAAAAAAAGGAAGGTAAAATGTCTCTTTAATGGTTTTTAAAATATCGGTTACATGTCAAAACGATACTGTTTTGGCTACGTCATAACCCAATGTATATATACCCAGTAAGATATATTATTAAAATTAATTTTAGCTGTTACATCTTACTTTTTAAATGTGGCAACTAGGAAATTGTAAATGACAAATGCGGCTCGCATATATTCCTAGTGAACAGTACTGCTCTAAAACTATTAGATGAATTAAAATCTGAGTGCATGATGCCTTAAAATCCCCCACCAAATAAATGTAACTGAAATCATCTGTATTTTTGTCAAATGTATGGATAAAGATAGAGCTCGGCCAGTCCATAGACACCCTTCAATGTGCCATGACAGCGCAGATGATTATAGTCCATGGATGGGAGTGCTTGTTCACTGTGGGCATCCAGAAGGGCATGAACTAATTACCAGCCTCACTTCAGCTCTTAATTTCTCTCCCAGGCAGCCTGTTTCCCGAGGTACTAACAAGTAGCACATTGACGACGCCAGTGAACCTCACGGCCCTTCTGTGGCTCTGTCTGCTGTTTGGGGGAAGTGCTAAGCAGATGTGAACTGGCAAAGCCATGGGCATCAAGGGCACTGAGGAGGATAGAGAAGATGGGTAATAGCCGATCCCATTGGGTGTCTCAAACAGGCAGGAAGCACCTCAA